ATCACCAACAAGCCATAAGTTATACTTAGGATACAAATTAAAACTTGATTCGATTGATTGGCATAAATATTTAAAAAAACAAGCTTACATCAGACGTACATAGGTGGTAGGTAGATACAGCCCAATACAAATTCAGATGACTTACTTCTAAAACATATATAAACCTGTTCAACAGTTATAACATCAATATGTAGTCTTTGGGCATTGCAATTACTTCCTCGGACTTCTTCTTCGAATTGCCCCAAATTTATTTACTTTGTTCTCCACTTCTTCAGCACTTCCTATGGGACAGAGGAGGAAACTTCCCAGGTGGTTTCTGCCGCAAAAAAAGTGTTAAGGAAGTATGGGAAGGGGAGGCAATCTTGAGGAAGTATAAAGATACGGGAAAGTTCGGGTTACTTTTGTTTTCCATTTTTTGGTATAATCTGGTAGTTTTAAGCAAAAATAATATCTACATATAAACAAACTTCATTCAATTTAAAGCTCACCTCGAGAAAGTGCAAGAGTAAGTAAGTAAAGGACATTTTAGAAGTGTGTGGAAATTTGGTAAGAGCATCAGGAATGTCTGAGGAAGTCCAGGGAAGGGAACATGGCAAATTAATGAGATGTTTGGGAGAAGTTCAAAGGGAAAGAACTAAGGTTCCTAAAGTTGATAGGTTGCCTGGTAATGGGTAACCTAATGATGCATCTGGGGTGCTTTATGGAGATTTTCATTATGATGAGTCCCCCCAGATGACGTTATAAAGTTATCAGGCAACCTGCCTCTCCCAAATAACCTTGGGAAAGAACCACCTCCCACAATTTGTATAGAAAGTTTATTTTTGTCCCACGGGGAGCTGAATTTAAACTGGAAACATGAAAAGCTTACTCCCTACAGTCGACTCCATAAACCTTCCGAATTTTTCAGCCTCTATTATTTGATAATGAACTTCCTCGGACTTGCTCAATCAAATTCTCCGGACTTCCTTTTGGGAAAAACTTTGTAGGGAAGATCAATACAGACCTAATCACTAACATTAATTAACCAACAGGAACAGATGAGTTTGTGCTATTCCACTCCTACGCTATGTTGGGTGATTCTAATCACTACTGTGTTATGTTTTTTTTTTTGTTTAGGGAAAGGGAGGTGAGAGGAAAAAGGATAGAAAAGGAGCGAATTCAACTAGAAGAGAGTATGAGCTTTTAAATTTCGTAGGCGAGTAGGCGAGTCCAGTCAGGGTTAAAGTCATTGTGAAATAAGTTTCTAATAAATCATTCGTATAGTTAATTACTGAGTCCAGAGACCGCGTATGTTTCTCAACAAGATACTGCTGGATTGTGTCGTTCAGATCCGTGTGTAGGTCCACATTGCGAACATACTACGGACCGCCGACCATCCTTCGGACTACCTTGGTTTGAAACTTCTGCAGTTTCTTCTTGTTTTGTCGTGAAGTCTGAGAAAGCTGGTGCGCCGTAAAATAAACAGAGACTTATGACTTGTTTGTATGTATGTATGTGTCCTTGTTAAGTAAATTAAAAAGCAATCCCACTAATCTGTTGTAAGTCCAAGAAAAGTTATTTTCTAGTATTAGTCCCAAGTATTTAATCTGATTCGTTCAAGGTATTACAGAATCGTCCAGTATGAGGTTGTCCATGCATTTAAGGGTGATCAGGCCAGCTTGGGTCTTATCGACATTGATTTTGATTTTCCATAATTTTGTCCAGTCAATTATAGAGTCAAGGTGATTTTGTAAACGTCTATGTATGTGAAATGAGTTCTCTTGTGAGGTAAAAATACAAGTGTCATCTGCATAGATGGACATTTTTGTATGAAAATTAGTAGGACTGTCAGCAGAGGTTATAGAGCAGTGGGGCAAGGACTGAGCCTTCAAGCACACCTGCTTCTAGGTCTGACATTTAAGTTCAAGGAAATTAATAATGATTTTGACGAGAGATAATGGCAGAAAATATATTTCTCAACATCCCGTTGAGGAGCGATGGTGCAAGGCGCAAGTGATTTATTCAACCAGCCTGGCAAGCTTATTCTCCGTGGAATGTTTGAAACGAAAACCAAATTGTCCGGTAGCGAGAATGCTTCAACATAATGTAAGGATTATTTAAGCTTTTCATGAATTATTTTCTCAAGAATTTTGGAAAGTGAACGCAGAAGACTAACTGAACAGTAATTTTTTGGAAAATGATGATCTTTTCATTCGGTTTTCGGATTAGGATCGCTGTTGCCGCAGTTTCCATGCTTTAGGAAAGTAATTGAGATTGAGGCATTCATTTAGAATGCGAGTAAATGTTGCGACGACGTTGTCCGGAAAGTTTTTGAGGACTCTACCTACTTATATCCAGAGGCTTTCCAACTGAACGGGTAATGAAGACTTTTACGTCATCGGTTGAGAAAAAAATTAATGTATCATTCAGAGGGACAGGCAACCTACAGATTTCTCTGTAGCGCCTGTTTCATCTTCTTCATAATCAATATAATCATGAAGGGAAAATTGTGATTGAAGTGAGTCAGCAAAAGCACTTGCTTTTTTTTTATTGGTATATACCAAACTAACTCTACCATGAATGGTGGGAATTTGCCTATTTTTCTTATTCAAAAGAAAACGATTTATTTTTCAGATAGAATTATCCTCAGGTCACAAGTCAGCAAGTAGGTTACCCCACTTTTGGTTCTTATACTCGTTAATCAAAGTTGTAATTAAGTTAGTAGGTCTGTTACATTCCAGTTTATTGTTACGAGTCTTTATTAGTCCTTATCGCCAGTATTTTGAGTCGATTTCTCAACTTAATTTGCTGGGGTACCTATGTCATTTTTGGTAATGTTCTGAGTTTCACATGAAATGGTCTTCGTCTTGAGTGAATGGTTTCCACGGTTTCAAGCAGAATTTTGTCCAATGAAATTTGTAATGTTGGTACTGTTTGTTTTACGAGGGTTTGCACTTTTGCCTTCGTTTTTTAACAAAAAAAAATTGTCTGAAACAAATTAATGACGTCAGAAACGTTCGTCGGTTTTTAAACCAGCAGTCGTTGAATACAATCAATAACATAGAAAAACTGAACGCTATTGTATTTATATGAATCAATCTACGACAAACCTTTTTTTCCAAGTTATGACATTATGGATATCATAAGGTCATAAGTACAGGGTGAGTCACCATATTTTGACACCCACCTGCAGCCGTAATTACAGGTGATAGGTGAACGGTGTAAATACAAAAGTTGTAGTATTTCATCTGAACCGCCAGAATTTTCAATTAGATTATACAAATGAGCAACAAAAAGTGGAAAAATATGTCAATGTTCACTTTTCTCAAATGGAATGCCCTTTATTTTCTTTCAAATTCTTAAAGTTCTCGTTTTTCTGATTCAGATTATATAATATTATGTTAGTGTTTCTTTCGATAGTTTTGGAAATATCTGGAGTTTAGTTATTCAAAGAGAGTAGTTTTTTGAATAAATTTCACCTTGATTTACCTGTAACCTGTCGCAAAACATTGTGATACGTGAATAGATCTTTGAATAACTAAACTCCAGATATTTCTAAAATTATTGAAAGAAACATCAACATATTATATAATCTGAATCAGAAAAATGAGAACTTTAAGAATTTGAAAGAAAATAAAGTGCATTCCATTTAAAAAAAGTGAACATTGACATATTTTTCCACTTTGTCTTGCTCATTTGTTCCATCTAATTAAAAATTCTGGCGGTTCAGATAAAAAGCTACAACTTTTATATTTACACTTTTTACCTATCACCTGTAATTACGGCAGCAGGTGGGTGTCAAAATATAGTGACTCACCCTGTACATACCTTCGTGAATCGTTTCAGGTTCATGAATCATTCAAGGTTCATAACTTATCTGTTCTTTTAAAATTTTGTTTTCCTCTAATAAAAGCTCATATTTCATATCATATTCGTTCGTTTCACTACGAATTTCAAGCTAGTAGGTTCAAAATTTTGTCAAATTGTCAGAGTTCTTAAAAAATTATCTTTTCCATTTGAACTTTCTAATACTTCCTTGGAGATCTACAAACTTTCCTTACTTCTCCAGTATTCCTTGAAGTGGAAATTTTTAATTAATAGACAATTTATAGCGATTCTCAAGAGGAAGAAGTAATTTCCTTCCTCTTTACTCTTGAGGATAGCATTATCTTGGGTGGAAATTAATAAGCTGCAGATTGATGAGGGAGGTTTGTGGAAATTCTGGAGAAGAAAATGAAGGAAAGTCCAAGCAAGAATTGTCTGGGAAAAATAGTGGAAATCTTAGGAAGTATGGTGAATTATTAAGGAAACTAGGAAAAGTCCAAACGAAGTCCAGGAAATATGTATCAAGTTTCTGGAGAAAGTTTCTGTTTAGAACGTAGGAGGTGGAAAAATCGTTACTGAATGTACAAAATGCCATAATTCATCTGATACCTACTGAACCGCCTACAAAGGTTTGCAATCTTCAAATACAAAAGTAGGTACCTACCTCAACCACATCAATCAATCAATTATCATTAATGCTTTGCCGAAATCATCGGAGATTATTATTATTACAAGAAGTGTTCAACCTTCAACAGGTAATTTAAGATAAATATAACGTTCTCAACAATACATTTGATTATCCAAAAATATAATTTATCATTATCTGTGTTGATTGACGGATGACATTATTTCAAGCTCTTAAACATGAAATCGTGATACACCAAGTCTACTTCCTCGTTACTGGAATTATTAGTAACAATGCTTGTCACTAACTTTTGTATAGAATCTGTACCAAGCCCAGTCTCTTGTACCTAAGTGAACTGTAAATAATTTAATCAAAATGAATCATTTTCTTTGACTTTTTTTTTGAAAAAGCTCAACAATATCAGCTAATTACCTCACAATTTTCCAAGAATTCTACACCACAAAACCTCTGATCTAATTGTAATTGCCATTGAAGATCAACAAAAAAAAAATCGCCTATTTGTTTTTAAGTTCACGGTCTCAAGCATCATAATAAAATTATTGTGAGGGAGTGCGGACCCACCGTAGATGGGTGGAAAGGTGTATATATGGGGCTGAGATTTTTGGTTGAGGCATCATTGTACATTTCACCAAGTAGTGAGTGGTCAACGTACCCCAGATTTTAGCCATGTTTCGTCTATTGGTAAGTGTACGAGTTTTGTGTGAAAAGTGAAACATTTTTATGGCGATTTGACTACGTTTACATCGAGGATAATAATTTATTGGTGTGATTTGTGAATTGAAAACTAGTGTAATTTTGGTAAAAGTGTTGCCTATACTTTTGTGTAATAGTTGATTTAATAACTATTTGTTAATTGAAATTGCATGATAAGTTTCAGTTTTTCAATGTGCATATCGAGAAAACTACCCCCGAATTCACCCCTTTATATATAATTTTCACATAATGAGATGCACTAAAGAATCACTACTAAATTCTTGAATATCTACTTGTGTTCAATTAGTTTTATAATAACATTTAACTAATTAATCCTCAATCGTTCTCGTTAACTCAAACATTATCAAAAACCAATAATATTACCTACCATTAAGTAGATAAGAAAATTTAAGGTGCAAATTTCGTATGAAACGCTTCCTTCTAAAAGTTCTAAAAATTCGAGAAATACTTTGATTCACTGACAATTTCCTTCTTTAATTTTTTGCTCCCCGAAAACAAACATTCATTTTTACGTAATTGGGTATTTTGTAAACGCATAACAGATTGTGTATTGTTAACAAATGTTCGAGTGATTTTGTAATGATACACATTCCACAATAAAAAAAAATAGTTTCCCATATAATTTGAATAATTAACTACCGGTAGGTATAGTTAAATTAAAAGTAGTCCAGTTCCTGCGTAATCTAAAGTTAATTAACAATTGGATTAAGGAGTAAATATCTACTAAAGGGACAATAAAAGAGAAAAGGTCAATCAGAAATTACAGGGATTAATAAGGTTAATGCCAATAGATAATTGAAATTCAAATTAATGTTTAATTATAAGCGGAAGTCACTAATACTACATGTAAGTATGTAGTGCTTTCTTGATTCTTGAATGACCATACAACATGTTTTATTTTACATTTAATTACTCAGTAAATGATACATATTATGGTTTAATTGCTTTTAAAGAAAAACTACTACCGATAAGGAATTATTTCTGTTTTCTTTTTATTCTTCTAAATATGGTCTTATTTCTTCCTTTCTTTAAGTTTCTCTGTACGAATTCAATTGAATCTGGAAATATTTGGGAAATTTTCTATATGCCTCCAAAAAATATCTTCCTTGAGAAAGAGCTTTAGGAGCATTTCAAAAACCCTCAATTTTTAAACAACTTGGAATAATTTTCGAATTCCTTTATACTTAGTACTTTGTCGATATCCACCACAAAGAAATATTTCAACTATTTAATAGACTCATTTTGTGTTGATGCAATCCTCCGAAGAATTTATGAATGTGAAGTAAAATTGGGTTAATAAGTAAGTGCGCCTATGTGCAAAACTTTCAAATAACCGGATCGGCGCAAACAAATTGATAACACGAGCAATACCTATTACGGCGCCATTTACAAAAGAACATAATAATTATTGTGCGGCGCATATTTTTCGCTCTATATTTTATATGGCGGCTCGTGACTTCCTTACTGTTACGTTACATTACGTCTTTTGCCTGAGTACATTACCTAATGGTCGCGCTCCAATGCATCTAAAGGATCTTTTCACTTTCGATTCACACACACTGTCCACTGACCACGTTTACATCGCGTATTCAATTATATAACTTTTTCTTAGGTCCTTGCTTGCACAGTATCACTAACCTTAGCACAATATCAACCACAATATCAACAAGCTCGATACCAACAACTCCAATATCAACAACAACAACAGCCACAGTATCAACAGCAACAACAACAGCCACAGTACCAACAAGTTCAATACCAACCAGCAGTGCCCACTGCTGCTCAATATCCTGCTGGAGTGGACGCCCAATCCTGTCCAAACTATCCCGATTGTGCTAATCCTCTGTTGGCCTTACAAGCAGTAGCCAAAGCATCCGATCCACGTTATCAAGTAAGCTTTTTTTGTTCTATAATTAATTTTGCTTGAGTGTAATCATGTCAATAGGCTGAAGTAAGTCCAAAGGCACCACAAGCTCTGCACCAACCTCAACATGAATATTCTCCAGAAGTGCAACAGAAACTTGACCGTGGTGAATACATAGGCGATGGTGACTATCACGGTGAAGGACTAGATGAAGCTCAAGCTCCAGAAACAGCAGGTAGAATCAACTAATGCACAAATAATTCATAAATCAACAAATACATATTTTAGTTCGTTCTGGATACGCTCTACAACAGCAACAAGCAGGCCAGTACCCCGCTCAGCAAGCCGCCTCTCAATACTCCGCCCAACCTGGAGCAGTTCAATATCAAGCGCAAATTGCAGCATCTCAATACGCAGCTCAACCTGGAGCTGTTCAATATTCAACGGCTTCTCAATATGCAGCTCCAGCCGGAGCCGTTCAATATCCAGCACAAATAGCAGCTTCTCAATACGCAGCTCGGCCTGCAGGTGTTCAATATCCGGCTCAACGTGCGGCATCTCAGTACGCAGCTCAACCTGGGGCTGTTCAATATCCGGCTCAACGTGCGGCATCGCAGTACGCAGCTCAACAGCCCAGATACATAACAGCTCCTCAAGGCAGATACTACCAGCCTCAAGCTCGTGCTTCTTTGTTCACTCCACAGTATCAACCAGCTCCGGTGCACGATAATGCTTTGGCTTCCGCTTCTGAGCCTGAAAGTTCGGTGCAATTGCCTGCCGGTATCGATGCTAGTTCTTGTCCGGATTATCCTTTTTGTCAATCCTAAGAATTTTTCTGATTGTTAGATAGAGAGTTTTATATTTATTGTATTTTAATAATGATTTTTTTATTGAAGATTTTTTTTTATATATAATTTGAGTTTTTGTAGATAACACCCGGCATTGAAAGAACTATATTTCCAACTTTCGTAGAGCTAAGCAATGCCTGAAATACCAACTTACTTGGTCCAAGTTTTTATTCAAGTGCAATTGGACCGTGTCAACCCGGCTTAAGTTGCCATGAAAAGATTCTATCAAGTGAATCCTGAAAATTTCAAATCGATCTGATTCCTTAAAATATTTTTCAGGATTTTTCAAAGATGATTTAACATGAGTTGTTTGGAATCGACTTGGGAAAAACATCATAATTTTGTTCCTGAACTCCAAATTGACTTCAAATTTGCCTTGTTTGATGAAAATATCCTAGTTAAAAAATCCTGAAAGTTTCAAAAAATCGATTTGATACTGATAGTATTTTTTAGGATTTTTCAAAGGTGATTTAACGTGAATTTTATAATTTTTTTTTTGGTATCAAGTTGGAAAAAACCTCATAATTTTATTTCTGAACTTCAAATTCACCTTGCTTGATGAAAAGATCCTAGCTGATGAATCCTGAAAACTTCAAGTCGATCTGATTCCTCGAAGTTCCTATTTTCCAAAGATGATTTAACATGAGTTGTTAGATATCAAGTTGGGAAAAACATCATAATTTTGTTCCTGAACATCAAATTGACTTGATTGATTGATTGATTGATGGAAAGATTCTAGTTGATAAATCCTGAAATTTTCAAGTCTATCTGATACTCCGAAGTATTTTTCAGGATTTTTCAAAGGTGATTTTAGCACGAGTAGTACCGTTTGGTATCAAGTTAGGAAAAAACATCATAATTTTGTTTCTGAGTCTCAAATTGACTTCAAATTTGCCTTGTTTGATGAAAAGATCCTAGTTAATAAATTCTGAAATTTTCAAGTCTATCTGATAGTCCGAAGTATTTTTCAGGATTTTTCAAAGGTGATTTAACGTGAATTTTATAAGTTTTTTTGGTATCAAGTTGGAAAAAACCTCATAATTTTATTTCTGAGCTTCAAATTGACTTCAAATTCACCTTGCTTTTTGAAAAGATCCTAATTGATGAATCCTGACAGTTTGAAGTCAATCTGATTTGTCAAAGTATTTTTCAGGATTTTCAAAGATGATTTAACACGAGTTGTTTGGTACCTATCAAGTTGGGAAAAACATCATAATTTTGTTCCTGAACTCCAAATTGACTTCAAATTTACAGTGTTTAATGAAAATATCCTAGTTAATAAATCCTAAAAGTTTCAAGTCGATCTGATACTCCGAAGTATTTTTCAGGAATTTCCAAAGATGATTTAACATGAGTTGTTCGGTATCAAATTGACTCCAAATTTGCCTTGTTTCACAAGAAGATTGTAGTAAATGAATCCTAAAAATTTCAAGTCGACTTGATTCCTCAAAATATTTTTAAGGATTTTTCAAAGATGATTTAACATATAAGTGTTTGGTAAATTAACTTCAAAGGTAGGTACCCTCACTATTCCTATGGATTTTGGCCACCAACAGAATTTGATGAGATTTACATATAATATGTAGGAGAGCAAACTAAACAATTTATCTCATTGTTCAAACCAAAGTTTCCATCTATACAGGGTGGAACTAGAATCGGCTTTAAAGTTGATCATAATCAAGAGTCCATTATCCGCAATAAATCTAATTCTAATCTTTCGAAAAAGCTCAAAGTAATTATTTTTTATATTCAAATGTTATATTAACAAGCTTATAGACCCTGAGATATAGGGCCTGTTTAGTGGAGTCATTTTTTTTTTTGTCTGGCATTTTGAGGGATGAATGTGACTAGTTAGCTGATGAGAATATAAGTGGTTTTAATGCCTGCCTCCTGTTCGAAATGTCCACAGAATGTTTCGCCGAAAAAGTCGATTTCGAACTGTGATTAGCGTCTGGCGATTTTTTAGCGTCAATTTCACAACAAAATCTTTCATTCTCTCGATTGCCAGACAAAAAGTAAACGCGGAAGTTTCTTTTCTTTTCTCTTGGAAGTTGACACCCATCCCCATTTTTTCAGCTATTGAAAAGCATCTGATATTTTTCATGGGTGAATTATTTATCAATGTCAATCTTTTATTTAAAAGCCAGAAAATCACCCATATTCTCATCAGCTTAGTAGCAACATTCAGCCCTCAAAATGCCAGACAAAAAAAAAATGACTCTACTAAACAGCCCCTATCTCACAGTCTATTAATACAAATGCTGGGAAATTACAACATTTTTATACAGGATATGATACAAACATAGGATAAAAGTTATGTTCAGGTACAGGGTGATCTATTATAAATGTCACCCCCTTCTAACTTTTCCATTTGACATTTTTGACAAAAGTGTCAGATACAAAAGTTTCAAAAAATTGTCCAAAGTTTTTAGCTAATTTAGTTTCAGGCATACAGGGTGCGTTAAGAAAATGCAGCAGTGTGAAGTTATATTTTTTTGAATGGAACACCCTGTATATTGTGCGCTTATTTGTTAGTTTCTTTCAACCCGATTTCAACGATATAAGGTTTGATATGTCTATCTTCAATAGTTATAGGGAAAAACATGAAAACCCCTTTCAAGGTTTCATATTGAAAAAAGAAAAATTATACGATTTAAGCTTTAGAGATTTTTTTTTATAAGCAGTTTGTTGTTCAAATTTTATTCATTAATATACAAGGTGAAATATCATAATAAATCCAGATGCCTGAGTTATTATTATTATATTTAAAAAAATAACATGAGAGACTTAGGAAGGAATTTTCGAGATTTTCCCTATAACTATTGGACATAAACCAAGAGATAAACATATCAAACCGTATATCGTTGAAACCAGGTTGAAGGAGACTAACAAATAAGCGCACAATATACATGGTGTTCCATTTAAAAAAAAATAACTTATCACTGCTGTAGTTTTTTGACGCACCCTGTATACGTAAAACTGACTTGGTTGAAAAAAATTGACAATTTCCTGGAACTTTTGTATTTGACACTTCTGTCAAAAACATCAAATGGAGAAGTTAGCAGGGGGTGACATTTATAATAGATCACCCTTTACTATATTTATAAATATTTCACATCAAGATAATATTGCGCTTAAGGGAATTTATACTTGGTACATCGTTGTACACAAATTGACCAAAATATATAAAATTCAAAATACAATTGGATGAACTAACATCACAATCTATATATATAAAAATGAAAGTTCGCGGGGTATCCGGATATGCGCTCCAAAACCACTTATCCGATTACGATGAAACTTTGGTAGGTTGTTATGGCCATCCCAAGGAAGGTTTGTGGATAGGTTACGCATCTCGGAAAAATAAATTAATTTTGAATTAATTATTAATAATTTAATTGTAAACAAACTCATTCACATTACATAACAACATAACCCAACTTTTTTTGACAGCATGAAACAACGTTGCCATATTTCATTTATTTAGGCTTGCATTCAACCGACGTAACTTTATTATTTTTTGAATTCGAGAACGGCTGGACCGATCTTGAATTAATACCACTTATCTCTATATAAGCTGAATTCGATTGACCCAGATTAGATCGATTTGGGTTCAATTTAAGTGAACTTCTTCTGATCTAGATCATTTTTTTGTTGATGAGGGTGCACTGATCCAGCTTCAATCGAACACAGTGTGGTTCACTTAAATTGAACGAGATCGATCTAATCCGGTCAATCGAATCGGCTATAGAGGAGAGTGATATACGCTATTTTTTTATCCCGAAAAAAAAAGTTCGGTTGCGCAAAACTCTGATACACTGGAACGCCTATAAACAGCCCGGGGCGCTCTAGAGCAGCTCTGGAGTGCTTAAAATGCGTCACTGAACTCACTGGCAAGCGACTCTGATATCGGATTTAAAAAAAAAAATTAAATAGATTATTCCACTCATATGTTAAAAATCCCATAAGACAGGTGACGATTTTCAGAATAACAGCGAAAATTCTCTTTTCCATTTGTTTAACTAGAGAGAATTACAGCGATAATTCTCCCATGTTATTGTATACATGGTTGTCATGCTAATTTTGGATACAAACAAACGGTTCCTGATAGCAACCATTTATTTGTATTGATTGTTAAGATGTTCAAATCGTTTAATACATATTTATTTCCATATTTTTTGCATTCTCATACGTGAAATAATCTTCTAAATACCACTTGAGCTTTAAAATGAACCAGATAATTTTTCACTCATGCGTATTTTCACTACAAATTTCACTCGTCCTACGGACTCGTGAAATTATAGAAAACACGCATTCGAGAAAAATTATCGGTAATTTTGAAGCTCTCGTGGTATTATTATCCCCGAAAATCAACAAAATTTGAAAAGAAGTGTACCTATTATTTCAAAATGTATTTACACGCTGGCAACACAGCGGGTCATTAGCTAGTAAAATATAAAATGGGAAAAGTATCCGCTTTAATAAAAATAACGAAGTATTTTTCAGAATTTTGCTTTGTTTCTGAGCCTCAAATTGGCCTAGTTTGATGAAAATATTCTGGTTAATGAATCCTGAAAGTTTGAAATCGATCTGATACTCCGGAGTATTTTCCAAAGGTGACTTTACTTGAATTTTCCAACTTTTTCTGGTATTACTGGTAAAACCTTGTAATTTTATTTCTGACCTTCAAATTAACTCCAAATTTGCCTTGTTTCATAAAAAGATTCTAGTAAATGAATCCTGAAAATTTCAAGTCGATCTGATTCCTCAAAATATTTGTTTAGGAGTTTCCAAAGATGATTTAACATGAGTTGTTTGGTATCAAGTTGGAAAAAACATCATAATTTTGTTCCTGAGCCTCAAATTGACATCAAATTTGCCTTGTTTGATGAAATTATCTTATTTAATAAATCCTGAAAGTTTCAAGTCGATCTGATACTCCGAAGTATTTTTCAGGATTTTTCAAAGATGATTTACATAAATTTTATGTTTTTTTGGTATCAAGTAATTTTATTTCTGAGCTTCAAATTGACTTTAAATTTGCCTTGTTCAATGAAAAGATCCTAGTTGATGAATCCTGAAAGTTGGAAGTCGATCTGATTCCTCAAAGTATTTTTCTGGATTTTCCAAAGGTGATCCAACATAAGTGGTTTGGGATCAAGTTTGGAAAAACGTCATAATTTTAGTTCTGAGCCTCGAATTGACTTCAAATTTGCCTAGTTTGGCGAAAAGATCTTAATTGATAAATCTTGAAAGTTTCAAGGTGATCTGATACTCCGAAGTATTTTTCAGGATTTTTTAAAGGTGATTTAACGTGAATTTTGTAAGTTTTTTGGTATCAAGTTGGAAAAAACCCCATTATTTTATTTCTGAGCTTCAAATTTAATTCAAATTTACTTTGGCTTGATGAAAATATCCTAGTTAATAAATTCTGGAAGTTTCAATTCGATCCGATACTCCGAAGTATTTTTTAACAACAGCAAACTTCTAATAAACATTTCTTTAATGCCCATGTCAAAGTGTTTTCAATAAGCTATAAAATGGACGTTTTTTAGTAGTACCGATTTTCGGATTAACCGTTTTTCGGTTAACTGCGGTTTTTACCGAAATTGATTATTGGTCATTTGGTTTTTTGGTTAATCGTTTTACAAATATTGGTTTTCGGTTATCCGTAGTTCTTCCCCAAACCTGTTTTCGGTTAAATTGGTTTTTGGTCAACTGGCCGGAAACCGAATACTTACCAGGAGCTTACTGAAATCGGTAATTAAAAGTATTAGAACAAAACTCCATAAATCGGGTAAGCCGCAAGGGAAATCTATTGTACAAATTAGGGCAAAATCTAGGAAATCTAAGGCAATCAGGGGAAATCATTTATGAGTTTCCCTAGAACCGCAATCTGGTGTACAAAAATTGACCTATGCGGTTTACCCCTCGGGCCTCGGGGTAATCTGGAAGGAAAATTTGGTGTACCTACAAATAGGGGAAATCAATAAGAAATCCGAGGAAATCTAAGGCAATCAGGGAAAATCATAAGAAGCTTCAACATGCGCTTGTGCCAATTTGGAAAAAATTTCAGCATTTTGAGACGCTGTAGAGCACTCTAAAATAAATTTAGAACTTTGATAAGCTGCAGAACACTTTTAATTCTATTTTCAATCCTCTTGCATTTTTTTGAGACAAATTTGGAACTTCCAAGAACATTGTAAAATGCTACAGAACACTTCATCAGAATCAAATTAAAATTTCAGAAGTATTCTAGAACGGACCAGAATATTTCCGAACTTTCAGGAACATTTAAAAAGACTCGAGATACTTTAAAGTTTAAGTTCAGATACAAGTTAAAATTTCCAGGAGTATTTTGGAACGCCCTTTTCTTATAACTTCTATAACATTGATTTTCTTCTGTCAACAAATTCTAGTCCTCAGATTTAGTATCCCCCAAATAGTTACCAAAATATCTAGCAAAGTCTAGTCAATAATTCCAATAAGTCATTTTGAATATGAATTGCATGTATCTACGCCTATGAATGAACCAAAGGTAACACAAAGAAAAAACTCTGCAAACTGCCTCACCTACAGCAAGTATTCAGATTATTGAATTATTTTTTGCTCGCCTTGTGGCATTGCCCAGGCCAATTTTTTGCGCCTTTTAAAGTAAAATGAATATTTTATAATGCTTGCATTGCAATAGAATGTGAAACCTTGATGGCCAAATCCCCTAGACAAATGAAGATTTTTTTCCTCGGCTAGCTTTATCAAGAAAACTTCCTGCTTCCAAAAATTTTAATTAGATTAAATCATTATGCAAGCTTGTCCATGTAAATTAAAAACTCAATATTATATTTATTTATAAGCATAAATTAGTTTTTTTTTTAATAAGTTAAAAAATCTAGCTTATGGACACCTACAAGGTAGGTATGCCAATATCATTGCCAACCCCTCTTATCTGCAAACTTGCGGAGCATGACAATTGCACGTGGGCAACAAGCACAAAAATGTCACCACTAGTTCACCGTATGTAAGATTTCCTTTATACAGGGTGTGGTCTCAATATATAAATAGACCATTTTCCACCCAGAGAACACTTGTTGTCGACCTATTTAGCAACATGTTCGTAAAACTGGTAAGTACAGTGAATAATAGTGATTTTCTAGTGAATTATTGGTGATTTTTTTCAAGTGCACACAATGGACTATTTTGGATATACAGTGAATTTATAGTTGTGCCAAAAGTATTGGATTGCCCTTTCGGATTTAACTATACTTTTGGATTATATGTCTCATCAGCGTCTAGAAAACGTTTTTTTTTTTTTTAATTAGAAATTTTCTTTAGGTCACATTAGCGTTGTGCTTATCCTCGGCTTTGGCCATCTACAATGGTCCATTAGCCGGCGGTCTTCCAGCCTCCCTCTACCCAGCAGGAGTGTCCCCACAAGCCTGTCCAAACTTCCCCAACTGCGCCAACCCCGCAGTAGCCGCCAACCCTGACCAAGCCCAAAACCAACAATGGGGCGGACAACAACAATGGAACCAACCGCAACCCGCTTGGACTCAACAACCCCAAAACCAATGGGGCTCACCCCAACAAAACAACTGGAACCCGCAACCCGTGCCCCAATGGAATCCAAATGGCCAAAACACTTTGGACAAAGGCGGATACACTGGTGATGGGGATTACCATGGCGAAGGTCTAGCTGAAGCTTTGGCACCTGGTTACGAAAATGCCGGTGGATGGACAAATTGGGATCAAGGAAACAACCAAAATGGTAGGTTTGTAATTTTAATCCTAATCCAGTGATTAATTGATTTTTTTTAGCTAACCAATGGAACAGTGCTCCACAATGGAATGCTGGTCCTCCAGCTCTTCCAAACGGACCTGCAGCTAGAATTCCAGCAGGTGTTGATCCTGGATCTTGCCCCAACTATCCATTCTGCGGAGCTTGATAGCTATCAAATTGCGCTAGAGTCCAGCTGACAACATGTTGTGTAAATAAGAATAATTTTTATTTTATTTGTTTTATTTAGGTAAATTATATGATGGATTTTTTTCTCCTTTCAAGTGTGATGTATTAGTCCACTGTAGCATTTTGTTTTTGTGCTATAGTTTACCTTTTTATCTCATTTTGTAATAATGAATGTGATTAAAAATAGGTTTTTTTTTTTAATTTTGGATGTTTTTTTTTGAGGTAATCCTTTGACCAAGAAATAATATAAACTCCTTACAACTGCTAAAATAATAATAGGCTCTTGACTAATAAGACAATATCAGGCGTGGCTCAAAAAAAAAAGAAAATCAAGGTCAATGTTAGCAAAAGCAGTACTTAATTAATGTTCCAGTACTTGCTGTGTGCATTTTACGCAACGCGGATATATTTTTTATTTCAAATATGTCGCGTTGGGTTTAAGACAAAGGTGTAAACGATTTATTCACTATTGTGGATTGTTTAAGGTTGCACAAGTACCCAGTCTTATATTGTATAATGTGATTTAATGAGAAATATAGACTAAAAATGTATGTTTAAAACATTTTTATTAATCAATAGGTACCTACTCAATAATATCCAAATTGAACTAGTTTTTAATAATACACATCAAAGGTATAGGTATATAAAATTGGAATGGATTTGATAGATAATAATAAATTTCCTATCAAAAAAAAAGAAAACATATAAATGCTATAATAACTTGCATAATAAAATAAATACAATTTTAAGTCTTAGGTAAATGCACTGGTAGTTTAACCAGACATGACCAATTTGACGAATTCTTCGTAGTTCACGTTGCCTTGGGAGTCTTCTTGGCCTTGTAGCAATTCTCCAACCTGAATTGAAAAAATTGAGATATTTTTCAAAAAAACACAATAATTTTTGTTTGATTTGCAATATTTTTTTGCTTATTATTTGCACTAAAGATAAAACCCAAATACCTATATGTATTTACCCAGGTATGTACCATTTTTATCAATCATAATCATAGGTACTGTGATAAAAACAGGTTGGATCGTTTGAGAAATGCAAAAAAAAAAAAATTCTTTAATAAAACAAGATAAAATACCCATTAGAAATTATGTTGTTTGTCATGGTTTTATGGACCAAGCAATTTGTAAATGATTACTTTAATAATAACTTCAAGGATGTTTATAGAGCACAGTACAATTTTTTATTTCATGCAATTTTATGGATATCTTCAACGATTATTTTTAGGAAATCGATAATTTATCTTTTGTCGTTTAGAAGCAACTCAGAGATAGTTCCAATATTATCATAGCTTATTGAGAAGGCATCAGGATAAACTTTATCTAAAAATAGAAATTAAACTTGTAAAAATAAACTCTAGGAAAGAAATTTCAAATGAATGTTGAGAGTATGTTATTGAATTGGAGAGGGTCTTTTACAGCTTGGAGGAATATTATAGTGATGTTTTATTTTCAAATTGTCAGGAGAAAATCCTGAAGATATTGCTGATAAATTTTCTCAGCCCTTTGCTTTTGCATATCTATAGAAAGCAGCTACATCTCAAGAATCAGATTTTGGGAGGTTTGTTATTTGAGAAAGGACAGGGCTCAGAAAATCTGGGAGAGTACAATCATTTTTTCAGCGAGGTGAAAAAAGAATTCAGAACGAAGAAAGGAGTCTCGATTTTCATACTCATAGCGATTTCCATTTGTCTAGCCAGTGCAAAAAAAAATGTATCCATAAATATTATATGCTTTTAGAAAAAGATGCAGATACACTCAATGCGCACTGATTGACAAATGGAAATCGCCATCAGAAAATGGAGGAAACATATAACATCATGGGAAGCAGTAAACGAAAAAATATTGCTGGGGGAATTTAACGGACGAACAGGAAGAAAAATCAACGAAAAGATAGTCCAAAAATTCGGAGATAATGTAACGAATAACAATGGAGAACGGCTGATAGCAATATGCAATATGCCAACAAAATAACCTAAAAATCCTAAAGGGTTACTTTCAGCATAAAGAAATACATAGCAAAATGGAACTAGACGACAAAAATCGATTATTGACTACATTTTCGCAAAAGAGATCAAACAAAAAATTCCAGAATGTGAGAGCATATAGGGGAGCGACCTGTGGTAGGGATCACTACCTCCTGAAAACAAAAATCTTTATCCTGGACATAAACACCCCAAAAGCAAACGGAGAGGAAAAACAAGAAGACAATATTGTGCCTGAGAAATACAACCTAAAATATCTAGAAGAGCAAAGCGTAAAGAGGTTGCACATGAGAAATATAGATCAAAAATTACAGAGTAGTATGAACTTCCAAAACCTTCAAATGCATTATCACCATATCAAAGAGAGTATTCACAGTGCAGCATTTGAAGGCCCCCACCTTATTAATGGAATCAAGAAATAGAGAAAGACGTAGCAGATAAAAGGAAGAAATACTAACAGTATCTGAGCTCAAAAAAGACACGACACGTGACAAAGACATATATAAAAAAGCACAAGCAGGAACGTCGGGAAAGTTAGCAACAAATTGGAAGCAGGATCTTTAAAATGCACCTCTGCTTGTCCTGCTTCAAACCGCAACCCAGCAACATCCATCGTTTTCGAAATATATCGATTTCCATTTTGGTTGCTAACTTCACCCTTGGTAACACATTGGATGCAGGATCGCTCAAAGGCAATATCCCGAGGGGTCAATAGCTGTGGATTTCTGGTGTACACCCGTTCCATGGATTTCTATAATTCTTGTGGATGTCTATAGATTTCCATAGATATCCGTGGATCTCACTGGATTTCTGTGGATCTCACTGGATTTCTGTGCATCTCCATGGATATTGGTGGATTTCAGTAGATTTCTGCTATCACCTTCGGTGGATTTCTCACTAAAGCTGATGCCAGAAGAAAGAGATACCGTTTTTGAAATAGGTCCGCTGTACGAGTAACAATATCCGACGGGAAGTCGACCGTCAATAAAAAAATCTTTATCATTATGGCTATAAGAAAAGGCAACGCAGAGAGTGAGTTCATAGGCTGTGAAGATTTTTCTTGATAAAGTCAAAAACGCTAAGAAAAAGCACTATTCATTGTTCTATTATGTCAAAAAAAAAAAGATTTTACCAAATAGAACAAAGCTTCCAAAAAAGCGCCTGTGCTCATCTATTCGTAGCAGTAAGACAAACAAAAAAATCAACTTCTAACTCCGAAACTTCAGACAATGACCAAATGAGTGTTAAATACGATGACAGACACTGACAGCTGAATGGAATATCTAAAGTCTGTTTTTTTTAAAGATAATTCCCCAAGTCAAAAATGTAGTAACTATGTTGGCAACACAAGCCTTTTCTACATAAAAATTTGGAAGCATTGACAATTTTACATTGTATTGCCAACATAATGTCACTTTGACTTTTATCTTAAAAAAAAAAACAGATTTTACCATATTTAGTTCTGTGTATATTTATGCTTCCCGTTAAACCATTTTAACAGAAAACGTTTTACTATAAAACGCTTCTATAAAAACCCCATAGACCGTTTTATCTCGTTAAACCGGTTTAAATACTGCGTAAACATCTCAAACTGTTTTAAGCGAGTGTTAGCACTGCTTGTTATGACATTTTAAAACCTTTTTGGGGAAAGCCCCATAGAAGTATAAACACAGGATAAAACGTTTCAAGTTCGAAAACGTTTTAGCGGTTAAAACGGCTTAACGGAAGTATAAACTTGGTAGTCCTCTTTTAACTTAAAAGTGCTTTTTTAAACTGGTACCTTTAAAAATTTGTATTGCTTAGAATACACATTTTTACAAATGACCAGTTTTAAAAAGCGCTTTTAAGTTAAAAGAGGATGTTGCTGTGAATCTTTTTTTGATGAAACCAGTGAGACAAATAATAATCGATTGGAATGTCTTTTATAATCTTCCTGCAACCAATATGACATCTTCGACTGTTGAATCTGAAGCTGAAACTTACAATAATGCTGTTCAGCCTGAATGTAGGAAACTTTATGCCAGATATTATGAGCAACAGTGGTATTTAGGCTTAAAATCACAAAAAATTGTCGATAATGAATTCATTGTGAATAATTTTTGGAAAGAAAAAACAGAGTGAAATAGAATTTTTGTGGCGTAAACCAGATGATATTTCTGAAGTGTCAGCAGAGTTAAATTTTATGGACCTATGGACGTTAATGAGAAAAAGTCTGAAGTACCGTTGCAACTGAATGACCTACAGTTAAAAGATATTAATGAAAGATACAAACTAATGCAATCTACATTTAAAAAATTAACTCTCACGATAATTATTTGGGAAGCTGAAAAATATCTTCATAATCTCAGAATATGATAGAAAATCATAGGTAAACTAGATTCTTAGCATCCTAACATTTTGTGTTACCGGTTTTAAACTTCGGTAGGTTTTTAACTATTACCTGACCGTGGATTTCTGTGGATATCCATGGAAGTCCATAGATTCCCACAGATTTCTTTGGATTTTCACAGAAGATTTTGGATTTTTGCGGATGTTTGTGCATTTCTGCGGTTTTTTGTGGATTTCGTGGAATTATTTAAAAATAATGGGTTGCTGGTGTACACATTTTGGTCAGCTGTTTACCCCTCGGCAATATCCCTACTAAATGGTGTACTGTGGGACCAAAATATCAACAATACCAGAATATACACCATAGTCAAAAGCATATATAGGGTGACTGGTAAGTAAACGTATTCCTTTGAGGAGGTGAAAGTAGAGCCCATTTGCTACCGATTAAACATCATTCACCTCCATACCATTCTCAACAGTTTTTGAGATATTTATTCTTTTTCAATTTCCAAGAAATTCGCTTCTTTGCGCGGTAAATATTTAAAATTAAGGAAAATAATAAAAGCTATTTTAAATGTCGCTTTTTAAATTATAAGCTGACACACTTACACAAATATTAGCATTGAAAATTATTGAAACAATATTATTAACTATTAAATTATTTCGGTTTAAACTTAACTTTTCTTGTCAAGTTAACTAATGGTTACTTTATGCTTAAAAATTTCGATAATTTCATAGTACATCAAACTTACAAATTATTAATAAAAGTTCTCGATATTATTGTCATAAGACACATTATTTCAGAATTAGTTTTTTGTTTTATTATTAAATAAATAAGTTTAATGAGTAAGAGTAACCAATATGAAGAAAAAATTACTCGA